ACACACACACACACACAAGTACAGATGTGTGCAGATGTCTGGATTCAAAAGGCGAGTAGCTTCGATTAATCTGTGCTGGCATTTGTGTAACCAAGCTAAATGTTTGTTCATATTAAGATCAGGGATGACTGAGGGGATTGCTGACATATGAGAAGCTGAGAAAATCCATGCTGCTAAACACAAATTTCATGAATGAACTACACAGCATTTGAAATATTGAAATGATCCATCTGACATTTGACAGTAATTTTAATTTAACAAAGTAACCTTGCTTTGGTCTAATGCCAGAGCCAGTCAGGGTCAAGCAAAGCAAGAATACACAGGCTTGTGTCACTGGATGCAACACAGTTTTTTTATATGTTGAAATATAATTTTTTTTAAGTGACAATGTTACCTGAACTGCCTTTAGCTCTGCAATCTAAATAATGTATTTTTTTATTATTTTTATTTTCTACCACTAAAGTATTTGTAGGGAAAACTGCACAGGCATAAAGCTAGAGTTTGACAAACATGTTTGATCATCCAGGTGGAAACAGTTCATTCACCAAGCCAAACTGGTTATAATGTGAAAAAGACGTATTTATAGATCTTTACTTAATCGGAAGCTTTCAGATGTCCAGGAAAAAAATGTGTAAATGACAAGTGTGAATATAGAGGAAACCTCTTCCTGCCAGGTTGCTATGTCAGTGTGCTGCGCTCGCAATCTTTCATTGATTTTAGCATCAATCGTCTTATTTAACACAAACAAAACGTTTAATTTTGAAAGCCAAGACATTTTCATATAAACCACAGAGGGTATCTTCTTATATATTAAAGGATTGAATGCAAGTTATAGAGGCCCAAGATTGTTTTTTGATATTGATACGAAGTTTCAAAACTCAGTAAGTTTTTTTAGGATTTTTTTTATTTTATTTAATTGATACCAATGCCTAAACTGATAATTGGTAATTGTCTTTTTTGTTTTGTTTTTTTGAATAATGATTTTAAAATGTAAATTCATTGTAAATATAAACTGTATTAAAAAGCTACTTAACTATTAGTAAATATTACCAATATTGGCTACTAATTGTTAATATTTTTTAATTACATTGTTATCACATTGTGTAATATGTCATAATAACTTTTTAATGTATTTTATCCGACTCAGTAATAGACTGTAAAAATTTCATTTTGAAGACACTTGTATACAAAACATTTCATACAACATCATGAAGTAATCAATGCCAAGCTGAGAGAACGAGGACATGGACCACAGTCTCCAGGTACCTCCCACCCCACTCTCAAAAACAATTATCATATATCCATAAAATTTCAACTTTATTGTAACCATTTAAATTATGTTTACACATGAATCAGACTTTATTCGTTAGGCATTTATAAATTAGGTGTAACTTTTCAGTAACCATCTAGAAAGTTCTGATGTAGCAAGACAGCCAAAGTTGATGACCAAGTGCACAAAACAACCAAACAATGACAAACTCAAGAACAACTTTTTCAAATGTTTGTTATCTTAAATACCCTTCGTGTATTTAACGTTGTGCATCACTTTCAGGGTCAAAGTATCAATAGTTTATTGAACAGCTTGATGCACAAACTAC